TTATTTTTTTTAATGTTTATGTCTTTTATTTCCAAATTTTAGTATACAATATTTTAGACAAAAAACATACAATCGAAGTGTAAAGGTTACAAGATATTACAAGGTAATGAGAAAACAACATGAAGTATCTTACGGTAACACATGGTATCCCCACCGTTCCCTCTCTCTCTGCTCCCTGTCCTGTGTGGTATAGTTTCAGTGTTGAAGCGTATGATGGTTTTCAAGGCATAAGAATTTTATAGGGATCGTTGTCTCTACTTATACACTTGATTGGAGCTGCCCATGTCTGTGCAACTTCTTCCTGGCGAGCATTGTGTGTATCACACTTCTGGGTAGGGGGTCTTCATTGAGTTATTCCAAGTAAGGTGTGGAATGGGGTAGTGAATGAGTTGGCAAGGTGGGACAAAAGGGGGGTTGGCACAGCTGGGGTTGTATGGTGTTGAGTGGAATAGTAGTTGCAGATCGTTACCCCCGACCAAGAATCTAAGGCTAGTAGTTTGCGTGGGTGAGTTTAGAAGAGGTCAGTATTCCGACCTTGGCTCTCTGTTGGGGATCTACTTTTTGATTGTGTGGTTAACCACTGTTCCCATTGGGCCCAACCTTCCAGCTTTTTGTGGGGTCTCGTGGAGTTAGTGTGGGCCATTTTTTCGTATTGCCCATTGGTGGTAACCAGGATAGTGATGTCTAAGTAGTGTGGGTGATTTCCATTTCCTAGCAATGAGCAGATTCGCAGAGATTAGGATGTTAAAGACTAGGGTTTTTTGCGCAGGTGTTAGAGTTTTGGGCAACATGAACAGTACGTAGGTCTCAATGGAGCGAGGTATAGATTTGCTCACTACTTCCGTTAGCAGAGTGGCCACCATATCCCAGTAGGGTTGTAAGGCCGGGCACTTCTACCAGATATGTGTCATGTTGCCTCCTCCCTCCCCACATCTCCAACATGTGTCTTTTATGGTTTTGTATACTTTGGCTAGTTTCGAAGGTACCAGGTACCATCTTGTTAAAATCTTTCTAAGTAGTTTGATGTGGGACACGCAGTGGGTGAGGGATTTGTGTGCACTAAAGGCTGTAAGACACTTTTCCCGTGGAATAGTATATCCCAGCTCCCTTTCCCATGCAGTTGTGTAAGTCGGTAAAGACATCGTGTTGGATTTCAACAGTGAGTCGTAGCATACTGATATCACTCTCCGTTTGGGTATTTGACCTGTGCACATTTTCCCAATGGGTGACATGTTGTGGTGTTGGTTTACATTCCCTGAGGTTCGAGTTTTTTATGTGCGGTCAATTTAGGGATTCTAGCTTTACGTTGGCCATTGATGAACCGATCCGTCTGTCTCTGCAGGGTGGTAAAGAATTTCTTAGGGATGCCTATCAGTAGGGATCTGAATAGGAATTGAAGTTTAGGAAGTAGTGTCATCTTGAAGGCCGCTACTCGACCTAGCCATGTTTGCCCTTCCATTTTTCCATTTGTGTTCTAATGGTTATGGCCAATTTTGTGTAGTTGGCTTTGTAGAGATTGGTAGGGTTTTTTGTTAATGCGATCCCTAGGTATGAGATGTGGTCGGACCTACAGTCTAGATCGTATTGTTGTTTTAGGGTTTGTAGCAGTGTCTGGGGCGTGTTGATTGGTAGCGCCTGCGTTTTAGATTTGTTAAGTTTGTAGTAGGAGATTCTACCATACTCATCTAGTAAATCCATAAGGGATGGGAGAGAGGACTCTGGTTCTGTAATGGTTAGCAGCACATCGTCCGCAAAAAGACTAAGCTTGTGTTCTGTCTTACCTATCAGTACTCCCCTAATGTCTTTCTTTGCTCTAATTTGGGTTGCCAATGGTTTGAGTCCTAGGACATAAAGGAGAGGAGAGAGGGGGCACACTTGGCGTGTGCCGTTGGTGATGGAGAATCCCTCTGACATAAAGCCACCGTATAGCACTTGCGCTGTCGGCCGGTTGTTTAGGGCCTTTACCGCTGCTACAAACTGGGCCGGAAACCCGTATTTGTCCAGTGTGGCCTCCATGAAATTCCAACTCAACTGGTCAAAAGCTTTCTCTGCATCCAGAGAAAGCAGGAGACCCCTCTCGCCCCTCCGTCTCATTGATTCCATTATATCCAGCACTCGTCTAGTGTTGTCAGTGCCCTGTCTACCTTTCACAAACCCCCGATTGGTCTGGGTGCACAAGAGCGACCAGGGCAGCTGCCATCCTGTTTGCTATGATCTTAGCGAACAATTTAGCGTCCGAGTTTAAGAGGGAAATTGGGCGGAAATTTTTGCACCTGTCTGGGGCTTTACCTGGTTTGGGTAGGGTTATGATGGTAGCCCTCAGCATCTCTTGGGGCAATTGTAGGATTGCCTTGTTGAAGATTGATTGGAGGTGAGGGGTTAAGATCGGGCTGAAGGTTTTATATTAACTGTTTGGTAGGCCGTCAGGGCCAGGCGTTTTGTGGGCTGGCAAATGTGCAATTGCTTGCTCTATCTCTTCCTTGGTTATGGGGTTCATTAGGGATTCTTTTTGTGACTCAGTTAGTGTAGTGGTTTGTATCTTTGTGAGAGAGTCTTTGGCTTCATCCATGGTAGCCTGGTATTGTGAGGCATCTTCTGAGAGATTATAGAGGGATTCGTAAAACTTAGCAAATGTATTCCCTATTTCCAGTGGTGAGATATGTTTGTTGTCTAGATCGTTGAGAATGTAAGGGATCCTAGACTTAGCTTGTACACTTTTTACTGTGTTTGCTAACAATTTCCCTGCTCTTTTGCCCTGTGAGTACTGTACTTGCTTGAGTTTGTGCATGAGTCGGACAGTTTTTTTAACATGGCCTTCTCTTATTCTTGTTTGAAGGAGGATAATTTCCTCCTTGGTGCGGCTGGACGGCCTCTGTGCATTATCTTTGTTAAGGTCCTTCAAGGTTTCTTCCCAAACCCGTATCTGCCTTTCTGACGTCCGTTGAAGGTGTGACGCCTGTTTGATGAACAGGCCTCTCACCACTGCCTTATGAGCCAACCATATTGTGTGTTTTGACATGTCGGGAGTGGTATTTGTGGTGAAATATTGTGTGAGCTGAACAGTCACGTAATTTACAAACAAGGGATTACGTAAAAGGGTTTCATTAAGTCGCCATGGGGGTTTGTGTTTAAAGGCGAATTTGTCTGCCAGCGTCAGAGTTACGGGGTCATGATCCGACCATGTAATTTTCTCTATTACGCAATCTTGTACCTGGTTAAAGTGTGGGCCACTGATATAGAATCTGTCAATTCTCGTATAGCAATTATGCACCACGGAGAAATAAGTGTATTGTTTACCAGAGGGATATCGTATAGATTAGAGTTAGTGAGTATGGAGGTTAATCGTTTTGCGTCTCGTTTGAGTTGGGCTTCCCGAGCGGGAGATTTGGTGGAGGTGGAGTCTAAAGTGTAGTCTTGCACACAGTTGAAATCACCTCCTATGATCAATATCCCTTCACGAACCTTGTCTATTTTCTCTAGTACCCGGTTTAGAATATGAATCTGTTTCTCATTAGGGGTGTAAAGGTTGGCTATAGTGTATATTTGCTCATTGATCTTTGCCACTATTATCAGGTATCTGCCTTGGGTATCCCCAACTTTCCTGATCAGGGAAAAGGATAGTTGGTTGCTAAAGAGAGTTGACACTCCTCTGGATTTGTTGTCTGCTGTGGCGTGGAATTGGTATGGGTATTGGCGGATTTGAAGCCTCTCTGGGTCAGTATGTTTGAAGTGTGTCTCATGGAGACACAGTATGTCTCCTTGTAATTTTGATGCCTCTCTGTAGAGAGTGTGACGTTTCGCTGGGGTGTTCAGCCCCTTGACGTTATATGAGATTATCTTCATTGTGATATAGTTGTGGAACACGCGGGTATTGACCACATGATTTGTCAAGTTATGGGACTCTTGGTGTGGGGTAGGGACAGGGTTAAGGGGGAGAAGGGAAGGGGATACAAGAGAACAGGCAGGTACAACGCTGGTTATACCCTATGGGGTTAACCAATCCCGCCCGCCAGCGGGTTAGTGGTGGATCCGGTTATGCCGAGTGTAGCACTCGGTCCCTGGGGGTTTCTGGTGCTGTAGCACAGAGGGCTGTACAGGCGGAGTGTCGACTGTAGATAACTGGTATTTGTAACCCTCTCGACCTATAAAAAGTTAAGGTTGCAGTTAAAAGTTCACGGGGATGCAAGCGTACGGGGAGTGTCCAGGAGATGCCTCGACTGTGAGAAACCGAGGCCTGATGAACCCTCTCCCCCACCCCCGTTAGGGTCCATTCTGGATCTGAGTTCCCAGGTACCTGAGGTTACAAATCAAGAGACACCGGAGAACAGGTATGCGCGAAGTAGTCAGTCATAGACGTGAAACCTCTCCCAGTGTTCTTGCTTAGCATCCACCGGGTGAATGATGAGGCTTTGATTGGGTTGGGGCCGTGAAAAAAGAATAAGCCCCATGTGTCTCGCTGGCTGGCTTTGGTAGAGGAGATGGGTTGAACTCACCACTGTGTCTGTTCAGGAAGTCGGCGGGTAGGCTCAGGTGTGTGAGGAGTGACTCCGAGTGTTGATCTCCTGGGTCGGTGTGTTGTCTGTAGGGTCTTTCTGCTGCAGGTGCTGGGACGAGACAGTGGGGTGGTATGCAAGCGAGGTGCTCCGCGAGGGTTCCCAGGGCCCAGCGGACTAGCGGATGCCTTGCTTCTTGTTTTGTTGTAATCCGCTGGCTGGCCGTTGTAGTGAGGAGGTAGGTTCAGCTGGGGTTATGTCCCATTCTTGAAGGGGATGGAGACCTTCTTCTGGCGTGTAGAGAACCGTGGTTTGCCCATTTCTTGTCACCAACAACTTAGTGGGGAAACCCCAGCGATATGATATTTGCTGATTTCGCAATGCTCCCATTACGGCTGCAAACCCCCTTCTCTGAGCCAGTGTTGCTGGCGACACGTCAGCGAATATATGTATGTTCCGGAACTTTTCCGCCTTGTTATTGGTGTTGTGGCTGGCTTTGAGGATTTTTTATTTTATATGATGATAGTGGGCTCTCAATAACACATCTCTGGGCGCTGTTGGCGGTGCTGTTCTAGCTTTTGCCACTCTATGGATTCTATCTAGCAGAAACATTTCTGCCGGGATGTCAGGACACAGGTGTCGAAAGAGGTCCGCTACGTACGCTTGCAGGTCTCCCACCGGCACCGTCTCCGGAACTCCCCGCAGCCGCAGTTTGTTCTGGCGGGAACGATCTTCGAGATCTGCAAGTTTCGCTTCGTGCACATTAAGTCTGTTTTCCATGTGTTGTAGTTGGGCAGATAGAGATTCTTGGGCTGCAGCCTGTTCTGCTGATCTACTTTCCAGGACTGTCGTTCTGGATGTGACATCATGGATGTCTTTTTGTATACCTGCTTTGGCGGTTTGAAATTGGGCTATCAGTTGTGCTGACTGTGTGTCTATCATGGCTTGTAGCTTGGATTCTGTCAGCTGGCTGACGAGATGGTTATGGCCCTGGTTCGAGGTAAATGAATCACGGCTTTCCTCCAAGTCCTGGGCGCCATCTTCCTCGAGGCCTTCATATGGGCTCTGAGTTCCCGTCCGTTTTTTTGCCGAGAAGAACGCCATCTTGTCTGTCTTCTGTTTAGATTTGTGATGGTACATGCTAGTAAGTCCTCCTCAGGTATTGTGTCGGGGTAACCGCTGAGAATGTCGAGTTAGGGCTAGTTGTTATGTCCGCCCGTGGAGGAGCTGGGAGATTAGGCGGCCATTTCCCGCGGCGTTCAGCTCCGCCCCCCAAATTAGAAACTTATTTTAATTAATATATCATTAGTTCCCTTACTTGTTATGTGTATCAGATATCCAATCAGAAAAGTGTAAACTGCTTCTTCATACAGACATACCTACAGCCATACTGTAAATAATATTTTTTAAAATGTGAATATGATTATGGGTGGTTAAATGGTATAAAGTAGGACTATGATTATGGGTGGTTAAATGGTATAAAGTATGACGGGCATGAGATATCAATATCATAATAATATCATAAGCGGTTATCTTTGTTCAAATTACTCGGACTTATCTGGATCCCATTAATGACAAACATAAGAGTTTATAGCAAAGAAAAAAGTTACCTGCACACTAGCCCAAATCGCTGTGCATATTTAAAAAATGGAGGTTATTTACTAACTCCAATGGCCATTAGATGTAAGCCCACCTGCCATATCAAGGCAAACCTCTTAGGTGGGCCTTGCACTAATGATATAGAAATGTATGATGTATCAATCATCCAAAAGATAACCAGAGGTTCCTAAATAGATATACGAGCGCTCGGGAGAACAGATAATAAAACCACAGACACTTCGTCGTTTGTAGTTCAAAATCATCTTCTCAGAGCATCGTATATATAAAATGGCAATTAGTCTACTGTGCATGTTTGCATAAAAATAAGACCAAAGAAACAATGGTTTACTTGAAAAAGTGTTATTTACAAGGATAAAGCAAATGTAACATTTCATGAGAAAGAACCAGCTGCAGTAACTGCTGACAAAAGCAGAAGAAATTATATTTAACCCCTGCAGACGTGGAAGGACTTTACTAAAGCTAAGGCTGTAACCCTTTATGTACTTTTATCTATGACAATTCCCCTCTTTTGGTACCACAGGTGAGAGTTCTAGGCAATTTATATCCAGGTATACTATTTATACCTCTGGGACTTTAATTAGATCTTTACCTCGGTTCCCTAGCCATCTCACACCAAAGGAGCCATCAAAGAAGACTGGTCCAGATTTCTGTGGGTTACAGGACAATGTGTGCTATTAAAACCACATCTCATTTGGCAATACATCCATAGGTTAAAACAGGTAAGAAGAAAGAAAAGACATATCACAACAATTAGTAGGTGCAGTACTATGTTTAATACTCCTTTATCAGAGGGAGACCACCCTGTAAAAAACAATCATGTCCTGTATCTGCCACTATCTTGTTACCTATGCTGTGTAGTTTATTAGCAACTATGACTGTTCTTTTCTCTAGTTCATCTAAAGAGTGGTTAATGATGGCTAGATGTTCAGCTAGATGATCAGTATTGTTAACAACATCAATTAAGGATTGTAGAGAGACTGAAATGGTATCTAAACCCAGAGCTTGTGGGTGCCAGGTGGAGGTAATGATTAACTGCATCCAGGATGAAGGTAATCATATCATTGAACAACTTGAGCATTGTCAAGTTCTGAAAGCATCCTGCAAACGGCGTAGGGACTCTCAGAGGTTTGTTGGTATCTGGCTGAGAACATGTAAGGACACTGTCCAATCACACACACTTACAGAATGTTGAAGCATACAAGGCTCTTTTCAACCCCATATTAGTTACAAGTGACAACCATGTCAGCCTATCCCTTGAATTGTTAGTACATGCAAAGGTGTAGCGGTCAGTCATGTTCACCACCATACTAGCACTCACATTCACAGGTCGCTCTTTCAGACATCTCAATACCTTAGTCACGGTCTTTCCATCAAGGTCTCCCCAACCAAACTCTTCCATGCATGAAACCCACAAGAAATAGAAACATTTTGGAGCCATGTCACATTGAAAGTAGTCATGTCTTTGCTTAGGTACAGTCGACCCGGTTCCCCAGTATATCAATGTCCATTATCTTTTCTGATGCTGGTCAGTGTGCAGTTGGGGAGGGACATGTTAATGTTGGCAAAGCAGGTGTAATTGTCCTGAGTTCTGTTAAAATTTGTTCTGTTCCAGCTAAAAAAACATAGTGTCTAGAAGGGTCAGAATAGGATCAGCGCTATGGTGCCACAAAAAGTTAGTAGTGTATATGATACAGGCAGCACAACTAAGAGAAAGGGGGGTCCCCTATAAATAAGTAAGAACAAACCCCCCCCCAAAAAAGGGAAAGCATGTGCCTTAAAAAATAGTAATAAAAATAGTATTTACAAGTGGATAATAAGATATAGTCAAAATAACTTAACACTAGTCCAATGTAGTGTAATCCACAGTAGTAGGGAAAATTCTTGTAGAACAGCAGATTGGATGAATCGTCACGGGTGTAGACTTGTAATTCAATGGAACATATGGGAAAAAACAAAGACGGAACTCCAATGGTACAGTAGGTAGATAAACTTGGATATTGGAATTATGGTAATAGGGTACTACGCTCAATCTCCAGAGCTAAAATCCAGCTCTCGTATGGAATGCATGACGTGGAATAATCTCCACTCAAGGATATATGGAGTGTTACCAGTTGAAGGATGTGTACAGCAATGCAGTAGTCCAACAGCGGTGTGGTTTAGCCCCAAAATAAAAAGAATAAAATATAGTGCTCGCTGTATCTTATTAAAATAAAAAGATAAAAGTATGAAATGTACTCACAGTGTATTGAGCAGGCTTGCTGCCCAATGTATAGCGTATGGATGGTATAATCCCCACCTAAGGATTTTTTATGCTTCTTTTAGGCGATGAGCATCAATGTAGTCAGGTTAAAAACAAAATAGAAGAAAGGAATATGGCAACCAAGGTATTTAGAACCAAAAATTCCTTTATTGTAACAAATAAAAATACTTTTCTAGACGTGTTTCGCCTTAACAGGCTTCTTCAAGTAGAAAATAGTAAAAACATACACTTGACATACATGACTTTATATAGTGTACATTAATTGTATTTGAATTTGAATATTCCCGCCAAAATGACATCAAAGTTTTAATAAAAAGATACATACTTAAAAAGGAATGCTGATATTAATAAACTATTAAAATGTATCAGGAGAAGTAATAATAAGTATTATTTACAAAAACGAGGTTTTAATATGCTAGAAATTAAAGTATAAAGAGAATCACGTGACGCTATTTTGTGTATAAAAGAGAGAACTGAGGCAGAGCCGTCAGGGGAGAATCGTCGCGTCACCAAAAGGGAGGAGCCCTGTGATGATCGCTACGAGAATTAGTATATGCCGATATGCTGTCTGCTCAATTGGCAGAGCAGACAGCACAGGCACATTTATCCCGAATGGGTCACAGGATCAAGACCCGAAGGGAGACCAAACATTTCACACAGACAATCGTGTGTTATGAAGGGCTTATCACTGGACAAATGTTTTACAGATATATGAAATAAAAACAACTGAATGTCAGATATTACATGCCTAATAGCACAAAAGAATAAATAAAAAAGACATACTTTTATGTTTTGCTTTGAAAAATAACAGCATGTGTTAGTCAGAGTATGACTGTGACTTAGAATTTTAACTAAAATAAATAAATAAAATTATAATAAAATACGGTAAGAGAAGCACTATTAAAAAATATATATAATAGGTATTATAAAAAATTAAAAAGGTCAACGTCTATATTTAGACCCTGTGGGGCAAGAGTCTTTAAGTTATATCCCCATTCCATTTCTCTGCTCCCTAAAATCTTTTTTATATCTCCACGGGACACTGCCGGAATATTTTAAAAGGTTATGAGAACCATTCAGTATCAAAACATTTTTTAAAACATGTAAAAAAAAAACTTCTTAAACGTATAGGTACAGATATATCCTGCCTTTTGGTGACGCGACGATTCTCTCCCTGACGGCTCTGCCTCAGATCTCTCTTTTATACGCATGCGTTCCACCCGAGACCACGTGACGCAGAAGTTAAATAGCCGTGCGTCACGTGATACTTTAAAGGACCACTACAGGCACCCAGACCACTTCAGCTCGACGAAGTGGTCTGGGTGCCAGGTCCATCTAGGGTTAACCCTGCCTGCTGTAAACATAGCAGTTTCTAAGAACAAATAATAGGTGAGAGCACATAAATTGATGAAATACTACGCACACTGCAGTCAATTAATCTGGAAAAGAACCAAATAGAAAGACATAGAGTAGTACAGCCTGATAACATATATATACAGTAGGTGTTAATCACACTCACATAAACAGAGCCACTTAATTAGCTGGCTCAAACTGGATGCCTTGAATATACAAACAGGACCTCCACTGGGAACTTCCTTCTCCTTTAAATGTAAAACCTCCAGGACGCAGGATAACTGGGGGTAAAACAAACTTTATTCTTCAAATCTTGAAGTAAATAAAAGCATACATCCAAAGGTAAATTAAAAAAGTCCCAAAATAGGAGTCCAACCACTTTACGCGTTTCGGCTATTTGCCTTCATCCGAAGTGATATCCATATCCAAGGCATCTCGATTGAAATAGTTCAAATTGGCGCCCTTTTCCTCCTCCATTAGAATTGCGTCCTTCCAGTTCCGGTCCCGACGGCGGAACGCCTTCTGCGTCATTACGTTCCAACGTCATAACGTCATTTCCGGTTCCGGTCACATGTTTGTAGTCTGGACATACGGACGCATGGAGAAACCGGCATCTTTACGTCAAACAACTAATGTGACGTCCATACTTCACTGGCCACCAATCAAACACCAATATGTTTTAAAACAACAATTTAAAATATATATCCATTATAATCTTTCTTTTATAAATACTTATTAGAAAAAAATATATCAACAAAGTAAAAAACTTTTGCTATTTCAACATAAAATCAACATTTTAAATTTCTTTGATACATTGTTAAAAACAATAAAATGTACTAATACATAAAAAGTAAAAACTATATATCTATAA